CCCCCCCCCCCCCCCCCACACACACACACACATATATAAAACAGTACACACAAGGCTGTAATTATAACGTTTCCTTTGGAAAGAAAATGGAAAAAGAAAAGAAGAAAAAAAAAGAAAAAGGAAAAGTAAATATTGTTTAATTACTTATCTTAAAATGATTTTCAAACGATGTGTCTTATTTACGTAAAAACATAAGTACTATCGATCGATGATATCATAAAATTTAAAAAACCATGCACCATGTTTCAATGTCATATAACGTGTCAAGTGAAATGCAGTATTCTGACAGGGCAGTTTACAAGTCAGCTAGTAAACAGGTATCAAAAACTTTCAGATGTCATCGAGAGCAACCAAGACACGATTAACGCGAATGGCTGCACTACTATCAGTTACATAACAAGGCAAAGATAGGATGACACGAAATAACGTTATGGTTAGTTCATAAAATATTTTCTGCTTCATTCTTTTCGTCATTTCTCACATCACTTTTACGCTATTCTATGTTTTGCACACTTCATCGATGATACAATTATAACAAACATCTCAAAAGGGATAAAAAATAATGCTACGATAAATAGTACAATTTAGTATGCATCCAATATAATACAGTTTAATTTAATGTAAAAAATAACGAATAACCCGTCATTGGACGTGCTGCAGTGATTACTATTATGTCGATCGTGACCGATATTGTAACACCTTCGAAAACAATTAGGCCGATAGGTTAAAAGGAAAAAAAAAAAAAGAAAGAAAGAAAACAAAATTATGATTTTGAAACTGTTTAAATAAAAATTTTTATCTATTAAATCTAAACATAAATTATTTCCATTTCGAATCGAATTCATCAAATAAACTAAAGCACAATAATTCTTTCCATAAGATTGGGTATTACTTCTGTTACCCATACTACTACCAGTAGTACTATTATTACTATTATTAGATGTGTTACACAATACTCTCGCGTCTTCTCAAACGAGTTTCGCTGGCCAATGACCAAAGCAAGATAACGTCGTGTATCGCGACCCATTTACCGACTTGCTAATCTCGAACTCTAATCCGAACTTGATTTTCCTAAACTTCCATCATTTAAACATTTTCATCATTTGTGTTCCACTTCCAAGCACAACAAATGTAATTGCATTTATTTAACAGAATTATAAATATCCGTGAAAACAACGTGTTATATTTTTTACTAAACTTCCCAAATTTACTTTTACTATACAGTCTACGATCTGTCATTATTTACCATGTAATTATTACAATGTGATCAGAAAAAGTTATTCTTCTTTATTCTATTCTTCCCATAAATTTATTACATAACAACGTTATAAAATGTGATATAATATCTAATTTCATCTAATTTCAAAAAACAAATATAAATTTGTACGTTTTTCCTACATGCTTCTATTTCATACGTTACGTAATAATAGACATCGTATGAAAATATCTACCTTATATTTAAACCTTTTAATGCTTCGTATTTCTGCGAAAAAAGCATTCATTTAAATTTTCGAATGTATTTTACAAATATTTACATTTTAATTCACATTTTGATTAATAAATTACTATATGTGTTAGTAAAACGTATGAAACAATATGTACCTTTTAGACTACTTCACGTCTCATATTGCAAACATATTGCAAACTGTTAAGACTTTCATCTTAACAAACTCATAAGAAAATATCGAAATTGTTATAAAAAGTTTCCTAGAACAAGGCAAAAAATAAACTAGTATAAAATTAGAATTGAAATTAATCAATCATATACAAAAATCACTTTTTATATGTAGTCACATGGCGCGCATGTACTGTACATGCATCACATGTGTATACACGTATGTATGTGTATATAATGTGAAACATTATTCGTAATCACAAATTAATTCTGTAACATGAGCAAATTGACATTCCATATTATTTAATTAAATATTATTCAATCTAAAGGTTCGTTTGAAAGGAAAGCTTTCCTGTTATATATTTCATTTCGTTACATTGCGCTAAACAAATGAAACGTTTTGCTATACATATATGGAATCTTCTCATAGGAGCATATACAAATCATATTGAAAAAATAAAGACACTTCAATAAGTGATCATACGAGCAAAGCGCGCGTAAACATATTAGTATACGTACTATAGGTGCGCGTGCACGCAAAGCGACCAAGTAGTCAGACAGGCAAGCAAGCAGGCAAGCATGGAAGGCACGACGGAAAAAGCAGAATGACAGTTGGTAATTATAACGAAGAGCGGATTCCGTGGGATAAGGCTGGTGAGCCCCGTAGAAGTAACGAAGTCCGCGCTGTGGCGCGCCACCACGTGCCTAACTAGCTAGCTGGTTCGCTGACTGCGTGCTAGCTCGGTAGCCACGCGTTATAGCATTGTAGATGATGGCGTCTTGCAATACAATTTTCAATATACTACGAATAAGGACTTTTATTCCATATGAATTGATAATTTTTAACAAAATTATCAATTCGATACTGATTAATTACTTCACAAACGTAAAGAGTTTATCTAACTAACGAAATGCTTTATACTCACCAATACGATGATCCATAGTGAAAAAATTGAGGTAGACGTAATATGCACGCGGTGTGGTAATGTCCTCGTGGGCTCCAAGCAATTATTTGATACTTAATAAACTGTTAAATAGAGAAAAATAAATTGGTAAGAAAAAAGAGTACACAATTCAAGTATAATTGAAAGTCATGTCATATTTAAAATATGATAGCCATGCAAGTTAACCGAATAAACCAGAGAAGGGAACGCATAAAGTGTGGCCAACAATTCGTGAGGACGCGTGCACTAACACGATAGAAAAATTGTACGATCGCGCAACACGACTTAAGTCAATTTTTGCCGGTCATCGAGTTTGAATATACGAATGATGAATGACAAACAACACGAAAAGATATGTCATCTCCATACCGTTGAACAGTTAACACGCGGCGTGTCTCGCGACTTCTTTCCCTCTCACGTTTTCTTCTTCAACCAACTGATCTGTCGTTCGACAACTCACCGGCGTATCTCTGTGTAGTTTCCCTATGTTTCTTTCGCTCACACCGTTGTTTTCTGATCGAATTACTCCCCGTTATGACTAATTTCTTGTTGTCTATGACAGATAAACACTACGAATGCGGCGGGTTCTCGTAGCGTGTGCGCCAGCGTCAGTAAGATTGACAGTCGGCGCTGGTGACAGACAGGTGCGCCCGCCTTCCGGCCTAACAAGTCGGCAACCTACCGTCCTGCTTACGTATCTTTCTCTGTTCGTTCGCATACCCGTCTGCCCGCCTGCCCGCCAAGACCCTTCACACGTTATACCATTCATTCTATCCTTTAACATTTTCCTGCCATCTAGTGACGCTGTAACCAAAACACGCATGTACTATTTAATCGTACGCATCTTTCTTTTCAGTATTTTCAAATCAACTGCATCACAATCGTGTTAAAGTTACTTTAACTTTCTTATTATACTCACATCCTAAAAATCATATCTTTTAATTCATATCATTTTTTTTATATCGAACTTTACTGAAATTATCTAATTTTATTTACTCTTATGTATATTTCAAAACGTGTCAAGCTATTTTTTATTACATTTTCTAAAAGAATATGCAATCATACAAAGATTTACGTACATAATAACAGGATTTAATTACATTGCAATTGTCATTACAATCAAACATACACTTATTTTTACTAAATTTAATATACAAATTTATTTATTTACTTTATTTAACACAAATTAGTTAACTTAATAACATAATTTGATAAATAATAGATTAAATGAAGGAAATAGTCAAATTTTGTTTAAAATTATATAATTAAATAAAATTGTACATATGCGTTATGTATTTATAAAGAATAATGACATGGAAGTATATAGAATATAGATGAAAGGTAGAAAAATCAATGAAAAAGCATACATAAACCATTCTATTTTTTATATTTATAGCATTTGATATCAACAATATTTTGAGTTTATCCAATATATTGTTTACTATTTATGAAATACATATATATGAATTCTAATCGAAGGTATAAATAAATGGAATCTCTTCAAAGGTTCTTTCACCTGCTTTGACCTTACGTGCAAATTCTGACACTAGTATTTCCTGTCTGTTCATCAGTTTTTCTCCACTCGCACATTCCAAAAGATCATCGAGTATATCTTTACATTTTGTCTGTCCTATAAGAAACCCATATGCACAGACGCATTCAGCTGCTTCCAACTCAAAATCTCTACAACGTTCATTATATTGCCAATGATTATAAGGTGCCGAAAATCTTTCTGCTGGAAGTATTACACAATGTGTGTCCCATGTATTACGAACCAACTGATTTCCCATGATCCTAAAATTTACAAGTAGTATGTTATCATTAATCTTTTATTACGTTATTACATACAGAATGGTAAAAAAGATTAGTAAACATCCTCGAATAATTAAAGTACATAACACATTGTGATATTTATTCCTGTTAAATTACAATGCAATGATTAATGTGTTTTAACTAATATAACCTGTGTATACCTATTTTTATGTCTTATTCTTTTTTATACTGCAAAATGAGATTATGCTACAAGCAAGACGTATAACTTAATAAATCAATGTATTTTAATGTAAATTATTGCACTTTAAACCAAGCTAAATGCCATTACCTCAAGCTATTAGTTGTATAACAAATGTTTTGCTACGAAGCAGTACTGACAATTCCGCTAACACCGCCACCTATTGTACGATATAATCAACTTATTAAACATATCGAATATCACTTTATTTTATTTATGATAAAATTAATATTTATAAGCAGCAATATTATTAAAAAAAAAGATAACAGTGTTAAGAAATATATATTGTATTATTTTATTGTACCATTGTTATACACTCGTTCTTATTTAATTGTATGCTTTTATCAGGAATATCTGAGGCATTTTCCACTTTTCTCATCGCATATTACATTTATACATTATTTTTATTCATTAATTACAATAAAAAATCCTCTATCTCTTTTTGTAAACACGCAAGTTGTGACCTTTTTAGAATTGATTTGAAAATGAAATTAGACAAAATATTATCTTGTTTTGAATCGAAAAATATAAGTTTACAGCTATAACAAAGATATTTTTCAATTATTGATTGTTTCATAAAGAAATCACAAGTATCACTTTGGCATTGACATTTTTTTCTCCTGAAGTCATTTATATTTTCAATATGATCATTATTTGATAGTTCACAAATATTTAGAGAATTCATAGTCATGTTTAATGAAGTTTCTGTAACTGTAGAAACTAATTTAGAAAATAACTTTGCCTTTATAACTGATAATTGTTCCTCTGGCAAATAACACGAATCTAAACTTACTTCGCAAAGTATACAGGTATTACTAACATCTCTATCAATGGTAATCTTCATATCATTGTTTATTTTATTCAATCCTCCCATGTTTGTGGCCAATTTTTCACTTGTACGATATATTGTAGATACAGTGCCAAAAAATTCAGAATCCAATTTATGAACAAAGTTTCTTGCAATATTTCTTATTGACGATGGAAAAGAAAAATTATATTTCTGAGAATTGAGAATTGGACATAGTTTATAACAATTTATATATCCAGTTACATCATCTCCTGTGAAATCTTTGAGTGGCCTAAGTAATATTACATCTGTGTGTCTCATATCTGAGAAAGCAACATTAAAAGGTAATTGATACCCTCTTCCAGTCGATATATTCGAAAAAACTTTTATTGCAAGATCAACAGATGTATCAGCAATGAAAATTTTATTGCAATTAAGTTCACGTGCTGCAGATACAAGTAATATTCGTTTTAACTGCTGTAATAATTCATCTCTTGCTGTATCATTTTCTAAATTATTAAAGCTTTCTTGCAGCATTGAATCCTCATTAGTCATATTCACAAGGGGAATATTTACTGGCTGTACCATTTTATTACAAGTAGCATCAGTTATACATTTTGATAAAGGTAAAATGTACATCGTTATTTGTAAGCTTTTAGCTTCCTTAACTAATGCATTTCGAATAGATTCTCTTTCTATAAATGTACGTCCCTTCACAATACCATCTGTGGAAACAGAAAAAGTACAAAAATATGAAAGATATATTTTGAATTTTGCTATGTTTTCTTTTCTCAAAACTGCTAGTAATAGGAACACAAAATTTATAACTCTTACCATCTATGTAAAGAACTTTAAATGAAAAGTGTAGCATTTTAGAAACTGATTCATTTACATTGCCTTTGAGGAGATGTAGAAGCACAGTTGAATTTGCTTTTCCTGAATATGCAACAAGTACTGAATCAGATGGCTGCATTAATTTGGATTTACCAAGCGTCGCTCTAAACTTATGTGTCAATACAGTTAAGAAACACATTTTACAATATTTATTTTTATTCTTCAAAGAAATTTGCGCTTCTTGACAACCACATTTTTTGCAAACAAGTATGGTGTTATGTTTGTCTATGGTATCAGTAGGCAAAGTGAATCTATGAAAAAAAAATTAAGAATTGTACAAATGACTAATATCTTCTCATAAAATTATGAAATTGTTCATATAATGAAAGACTCACATGTTTTCCTGTACATCTGACATTTCAAGCATGTCATATTCACACGCGTTTAATGTACACATTTTACTTTTTCTCATTAACTACGTACAATAAGTAATCAATTCTAACCACGCTTTCGAATAAACTTCTTAGTTTCTTTGAAGATTTGTAGTTTACTTCAAATAATACAATTTTTTAGAATTATAATTATAAGTGACAAAAATTCATAAATATTGTATTAATAAGTAGAATATGCAGAAGTTTGTCAATTTCTTTTATATAATTGTGTCTAATAATTATCCCGTTGGTCTATTTGAATAGAGTTGCCATTGTTGTTACTAATACCGATTATTAATTGGTATTTACTACTGTTACTTGTCCAAAGGTGTCATTTTTTTTCTCAATTGTGTAGAATTATGTTCTTATAAAGATTCTATATCTTATTTTAGTTTGTATCAAAATCGAAAGTACTTAAGAGGTTATATGCATATACAGTTAATGAAAGGCAAATATAGCGAAACAAATACATAAACATTGAAACAATTGCAGTGTACAAAAATGATTGGTATATTAAACCTGGCAAATGCTACTTTTAGGTATCCATTATTGAATGAATGTTTATTTTTCAATATTTTTATTTATTTTATTAATAATCATTTACCGATGCAGGTCGTCTTCGTGTTTAGTTAGTAATTCGCGTAATTTCTCCATTTTCACAAATCCATTATGCTTCAGAGCAACTCAGGTGCTTTTGTAAGTATAATAGTTTCAGATTTTGTTTCTTCTCAGAACACATTTATTATAACATTACATTTGTTCTAGAGCAGAACCAATGAAAAAAAAGAAGAAGCTGGATCCTGCAATTATTAGAGCTAGAGATGAGAGAAAGAAGAAAAGGATAGAAAAAAGAATTCGTTCTTTACAAAAATTTACAGATCATATGAAACCAATTTATGAAATAGATGTATTGCCTGAATTATTGAAGAATGAGTATGTAGATGTATAATGATAAAATATGAATACAGAGATTGAATTTTATTCTTAATATATCTATAATGAAACAAATGTTTGGTAGTGAAAGAATCGGCCACTTGACGACATCACTTTCAGATGAGGAAGTAGAAAGGAGAAGATTGTTACAAAGAGAGTGGTCTCTGTACAAACAAGATCAATGGTTGAAAGATTTACGTGTTATAAAATCTATTATTACCTCACAAGAAATAGCATTAAAAGAATTAAAAGCTGTTTCAAAGCAACTTTATAAGGAAGCAGTTGAAGTAAATATGTGTATTATATTAGAAAATTAACTTCTTGTATTCGAAATATAGCATTTAATAAGTCAAATTTATCAATAAAATAATATACACGTGTGGATTTTAAAATATATTCTGTTTCAGTTTGATCACTTATATATACCATATAGTGTAACTGGACCAGTAGATACTCCATCAATACAAAATTATGATAGTCCTGATGGCGAATATATAGAAACCACTGTTAAATACATAGGAGAATAGTTATAGGAAATAATGGTGAATCATGATAAGAAGGAACATTAAATAAAGGATTACATGATTCAAGGAAACTAAGCTTCCTTGAAACTATTATATAAGTAAAATCATTATTAATTTTCGTCATTTTGATTATTGCCATCTTATCAATTCACAAATAAAATGTATATTTAATACAAATTTTAATTTGTAACTCAAATAGAGAATAAATTATAAGAAAAAATTAACTATTATATCAGTGTTCATAAATTAATATAAATGGTAATTTTATTCCTTATTCATTTAATTTTTTCTAATTTGAAACATTTTGCAACATACAAATATTTTTAGTTTTGATCATTTATTTTTGGATTACTTTCGTATTCTATATTGAATTGACTCTTTTTAATAACATGAAATATAAATATTTAATGCTTGCTTAAGTTATTCAATAACGAGATAATTAATTGGGAAATATGAAAATATTTGATTTAAACATAGTAGAATGATGATAAAATTTAACCAGTGGAGTTATAATCGTAACATGTTACTTTTTCACTGTGCCGATACCGATTCAAATTACAATTCTCTTTTGCATATAGGGCAAGTATCATTGGTTTTGAGACATTGACGTAAACAGCCAGCATGAAAAAGATGGTAACAAGGTGTTATTCTCGCCCTTGTCATGTCGCAAAGACAAACAGCGCAAACATCGTCAAATTGTTTAATTTCTTCCAACGTTGCTCTTCTATAACGTTTCAGTATTTCATATTCAAGTTTTAATGCAGGACCATATATTCGTAATAGATCTTTTAATCTTAAGTAAATGTTCGTATAAATAGCGATCGATAAAAATCTCAAAGATACTGTTGGCAGAAGTATTAAAACAAGCAAAGTCGAAGCGCTAATGGTAAATAATATTAATATTACTGGAGCGCATAATTCTTCGAGGCTTTCAAGTATCTCCAAACGAAGAAACTTTAAAATCGACGGGAACATCTCAACGAAGACTTTTTCCGTTGCCAAATAATAAATCCATGTTATTATCGTGTAATTTATTGATGGTCTACAATAGTAAGATAAATTAAAAAAAAAATATATATACCGAATGAGTGCGTGAGGGGGTTGGGGGTGGGGGTGGGAGGTGTATCGTTATTCATGGAATTAACATGTTTGGTTATTTCTTTTTCCTTTCTACGTTTTTCTTTTTCAATTATTTATTAATCATTACTCACTTGTAATGCTCAAGATCCTGCTCCAAGCCAAAAACAAGAAGCATGAATGTTAATGTTACAATAAACGTGACGGCTTTAGTCCACTCAAAAACTATCTTGGTAGCAGACATAGCTAAATGTTTGATTTTGGATCGTTCTGTGAGAGTCACATAAGGTGACCAATCTTCCTTTTCAATTAATTCTTTAATGTAGAAAATACAATAAGTAACTACATTGTAAAACATTAATGTGTAGAGACATGTAATTTTTGGTTCTGATATAAAGATGCGATCAGCCAGCATTAGAAATATAATTTGGTTCGATATCATAGAAATGTTCTTCATTTTAAGAAAATGGTTCTCTGCACTATCGATCGGATTATACAATTGTATCAGAAGTGCATATAAATGTTGCCAGATCATCTTCATGGTACCTTTACATAAAAGAATATAATCGTGTTAATTGAAAATAGAAGACTTTAGTTAATTAATTTGTTATTACATAATAATTAATAATATCCCTCCCTCTTATTGTTTTGAAATTCCAACTAAATAAGGTAACGTTTAATTTTGATTGTTTAATATGATACTTTGATAATAATGTCCTATGTTAATAAATGCATCATCAATATTTGTCAATATTAGATTGATCAATTGAAATGATTTATTAGTGAAACAAAATTTGTGCAAATAACATGTCAATGAATGACCTTTGCTTTTCGTAACGTTTAACGTAAGGAAATTTACATATTAATAGATGTTCATCAAGGGAATCCGCGCAAATAGGGAAA